CTACCTGGCAGAAGGACAGATCAGACGAGAGAGGTGGACTTTGGCTACATTTGCTTCAGTGAGAGCGATGGCAAAGGCTTTATTCCCCACAGGGAGCTGGATCCAAGCTTTGGAGGATGATGTAATTTGATCTGCATACAAATATGTTCATAATCAGCAGGATGAATTGGTCTCGTCAGATTTAAAGTGCTCATACTTTTCTCCTTAACAGCCTCCTTTGAAGCTAATGTTAAAGTTAGCCATGTATGCGACACATTCTTTCACTTTTAAGTTCCTCTTAAATAGAAATATGGCCCAAATCCTGGAACAGCTGCAGTCTTGTGTGAAATAAGTCGGATATGTTTGCTACTGGAACATCAGGATTTTCAGCAGTGCTCAGCTGAACGATTCGGCTGGTTCACATTAGACTTTAATGTGCTCGATGGAGTTTTTTTGGTTGTATTTAATGCTGCTTGGTGGAGCATTATATCGTTGTGTAACTGGAGTGAAGATTGGACTATAAACTAATCCTTTAAGGCAGCTGAGCAGCATTTTTCCTGGACTTTGATCTTTTATAGGTTTGAATAAAAGAAGGCAGATAACAGGCTAAAAGACGCAGAGATCCTTTAAGCATATTATGGGCAGTTTAACATGTCTGTAAACTTACTGTAAATATAATCCCTCTCACACTGTGTCGACACATTCTTGATGCTGAATGAACTGCACATCGATGCACCCATTGTTGCCTTTAGGGAAAAACATGAATCCAAACTACGATGGTTTAGGTGTGGAAAATGCAGCGAGCTGGTCTGTCTTTCTCTCTGCTGAGCTTTGTGGTCCCATTTCACTTTTAAGGCTTAGAGGGAGCACTGAAACACTGCATGTTTCAATCGTTACCCACAGCGAATCCCCGTGTGGACCAGAAACGAACAACTTGCATCATCGTTCGCAAACACCTGTTGAAATAGCTTACCTGTGTTGTAAATAAGCGATCGGTACCATCATATTTACTGCTTGTTTTCAAGGTTTCCTCTGTGATAACGTTTCTTTCCTTTTGGGAGTGTATGTAAATGATGGACATGGCAAACTAACTGGTCATTGGGGCTTGAATGCGTTGCTAGGTTGCTGCCGATCCCTTCAGATATTTTCAGTCATATTTTGATGTGTTTTGTTGTTTTCATCACTTTTATTTGGTCTTTTTTTTTGTTTTCTTGAACTCCTACTTGAATGTTTGACCCTCATTGTTTGTTTGAGTGATTTTGGGAATTGTGGACGTTTTATAGGATTTTAAAGACCACACTTTGCTCAGTGGCTGGTATGGTTTTGGAGCTATTCTTCAGCTTCTTATTTGAGCCGTCAACGTCGTTTCCAGAGATGTGCTCACTTTGCTCTGAAGATTCAAATCCCAGACAAAGTGCTGATGAAGCAGGACAGCGTTCTGTGGAACTACCGGGATGTTTTCGTTTTGCTCAGTTTTTTCTTGTTAACTTGTAGAAAAGATTTTTTTCCCACAGCTTCTCTGCTGTAACCTGATGAACCACTACAACTGTCGGCCTAAAAGCTGCCGTTTCTGATACTTGATGTGGACTGAGCCGTGGCTCTTGTTTCTGTCTTGTGTATAAAATAATTACAGCAGTCGGAGGAAAAACAGCTTTGTGTATTCTGTAGCAATGAATTAGTAAAACTCTATTTTGAAAAATGACATAATTTTGAAATAAAAATAAAATAAGTGATGCAACAGAGTAACTTCAGCAGATAAAATGCCATTAACTGCTGAAAATGAATGATATTAAACTTACAAACCTACACAGGATGTTTTGAAAGGGAAGCCCACTGTGGTGGTGTTATATTATATTACGCAAGTGAAAATGTTTTCATTGGCTACTAAAGCAAAGAGTGGATTTACATGCGTTAACTCCTGATTAACAAATGATTCTGGAACAGTGTTGTGTTTGAATAACAGGGTTGAAGGGAGACTGAGCAGTTCACTCGACGCTTCCTGTTTATTGTGAACTCGACAAATAAACATTCAGTGTTGCATCTTTTCTACACGTGTGCTTATTTTGACTTGCAACTTCTGTAGAAGAGAGCATGACTCATTAAGTTATTCATCAGTTTGCAAATTCCAAGCACTTTTTATTGAGCGCTAAATCACTGTGATTTTTATTTTCCACAATAATTAACAAAGGAAAGAACACTTTGGGTTTTCACAGCTCATCAGCTGCTCCTTTGTGTAGTAAGTTCAGGGTGGAGATTGAGATCTTTTGGAGGGAATCCCATCAAGAAGAGGGATCAATGGACTTCCCTGTTTTGCCCGGCCCCAGAGCTCACTGGAGGAAAACCTCTGCATTAAATTTTAGTGCATATTTGTAATAAATACCTTTTAATTAGGTTATTCCAAATAAACAAAATTTCATTATTCTGATCATGGTACAAAGTCAACCTATGAAAAGTTAAAAATGAAAACTAGTGTCTTTCAAATATTGTACGCTCAGACTGGATTTCATACAAGCAACAAATTTTTTACCCCTCAGCCATGAAAGGCTCATGTTGTCACTCCGCCAGTGAGGTGGGTGTGTGGGAGGCGTGGACACTTAAGTTTGTGATAAATTGCAAATGAGGCGTTTGAAATTAATACCATACATGTATCTACTAAAAAAAAACAAAAAACTCCAATGACTTCAAATGTCAGTGATGTCAGGTCAAGGTCAGAGGTCAGGTTTTCTGAAGATGTCAATGCGACGTCACATACATTCTGTCTGTGAAGTAGTCAGACTCGAACGTCAAGGAAGGTGGTAGGGAAGCAGACATTTCAGGTTTCCAAGGTGAGCAATTTATTTACAGTGAACTTAATTTAATGTAACAAAACTTCCTCCCCAAATAAACTCTATTAACAAACTGCAACATAACATGGCTCTGGTAACACAGCTCACCTCTCCTGCATCTGGTAGAGACTGGCTTTAAATAGGGCCATCAATTTCCCTCCAATTGCCCAGCCAGTACCACTCACTCAACTGAGGGATCTAAAACTCTACACAGATGATCTAAAAACACAAAACCTCTACACACTTCTAACATGCACATTTACACAACTAAATGGCAGTATTAACGAAAGGAAAAACATTCAACAAATCCCTTTAAACCATAACACAAACAAAAGGAAGCATCTCTATAGAAAAAGAAACCCCTCCACTTGGTTTGACCTGCTGATGTCATATGTGACATCATCAGGACTTTAAAATGAGGAAATGCCAGGCAGGCATGAAGACTGAAAAGACAAACAAAGTAAATATGAACAAATGACTTAATCTGTAACATAATAAAATATAAAGAAACATGTAACTGAGTATTTAGCTTAATTTGCAGAATGTTTGATTTGCCGGCAACAAAAGGCTTACACAAACAAACCCGGGATAGTGAGTGAAGCAATGTTACTTGACAAATTGCAAAACATAGTAAATACATAGAAACGGAATAATGTGTACAATGTGTACAATGTGCAAAAAAACAAAAAAGGTAAACACATATGGGACAAATGGAGAGCATTGCAACTGCTCCTCCACTTTGTCACACTGTCATCTACAGATCTGTATGCCCTAAATGCCCTAAAGTGCTTTTATGCTGAGTGAGCCATGTTTATGATGCTAAAATGAAATTTTACTAAGTTGGTGCCGTGCAGCAGATTGGTTTAATTACAAATGGATAACTGATTTTACATGATTCAGTTAGATTTTATACATGTGAGACATATTAATCATCCCAGTTTACTTTGCATTTGTTTAACTCACTTAATGCTGCTGAGCAGCTTTTTCCAGAGGCTGAACAGGTCTGCTAACATTGTTGCCATTGTTATTTGTCAGTCTGTATATCCTCAGTTCTTTTCCTTGCCTCCCCTCCGGCCAGTCTGAGTCTCTCCCACCAAAGATAGGAGCAGAGGAGGTGAGGAAGGAGGTCAGTCAGCATCACTGTAGTGATGAGAGATGTTTACTTTGGAGCCTCACTTCAACGCGTGTCAGTTAAAAGAAGTGCGGCACCTGGTATCTCTCATTGTTCCTTTTGAAAAGTTTACCATTCTGTAAAATGGAACGATATCCTTTGGATTTTTGCCACACTTTCAAACGGTGAAGACCAGAAAGTTGGATCACGATCATGATCTTTTTGCTCTTCGTTTCCCTCTATACAGCAAAGGTAACAACCACTACAGAAACAAATACCTGTGTGTCTCTTCTGTCCTCCAGATATATTTTATGAAACAAGGCATTCTGTAAGATGGCAAACTGACATACTTATTTGGTCTCCAGATTCAGAAAAGAGAGAAGGCAGGGCTGAAAAAATAAACAACCCAACCTGTGACACCACATAAATGGATGAACAGATTGGAGGTTGGAAATCGGTGTGCTTTTACCTTTAGTAGTTCTCATTCATTATTTGCTTCCTCCTGTTGCAGTTGTGCTCACGAGTAAAATAACATATGTGGGTAAGATATAGCTTTTACTGATTTGCACATTTGGGGTGATGCTGACCTGATTTTCACCAAAATGAATCTGAATATATAGAACAATCATGCATAATGGACCTTCCATGACCTTCCAAGCTATATAGTTTGTCTTCCATATTTCCAACTATATCCATAATCACATACTGTGTATGCTACCATTGTATATAGTATTATCTTACTATTTTTCATTGATTGTACTTAATTGTATTTTTGTATTTCCTTCATATCTGTACCTGAGCTGAGGTGACGCAAAAATTTCCCCGTTGTGGGATCAATAAAGTCTTATCTTATCTTACAAGTAAAAACAAATACACGCTTGTAAAGTTCCCTTCAGGAAGGACAAATAACAGGAAAGGACCCAAAAAACAACACAGAATAAAATAAAACATTTTGTGCTGTAATAATTAATTTAATTGTCCAATCAAACCTGCATCAGTGAATTAATTTCAGAATTGATTTTTTTACTGGGTTGATAAGATTTGGGACTGTAGGGGGCAGCAGTGCGTCTAAACCGGAAGAGGAGCAACGAAGAAAAGAGAACTGATGTGACGTAATAGTGTTTACACTACACAGTGGATTCGCGAGGACGTGTAGGCTAACGGGGCTAATTTAGAGGATTTTGCTTCAAAATTGGATGTTTCTCCGTGTAGTTTGGTGGCAGTTTCCGCATTTTCCATGGGCGCTCACGGAGTTTTGGGAAACGAGCCCGACTCCATAGACTACTCTGTGCACGAAGCGTGGAACGAGGCCACGAATGTCTACCTGCTGGTGATCCTGGTCAGCTTCGGCCTGCTCATGTACGCCAGAAAGTAAGGACGCGTTTCTTAACCTTACCTCATAACGACTGTAAATAACTGGTTTGGCAGGTTAACATGTTACAGGTCAAACCGTGTGCTCGGTGATGATGTTCCCCTAGTTGTTTGCGGATAACGAGCACAGACTGACGCTGTTTGTTTACGTACACTTTAGAAACAAGAGGAAGATCATGCGCATCTTCACTCTGCCTCCCACCGCGGGCAGCAGCCCGGAGCCCAACTTCTACGACAGCCTGCAGAAGGTCCGCCTGCGACAGCAGCTGGAGATGTACTCTCTGGGTGAGGATGCATGTGGGCTGATGTGGATTGCAGTGAAACTCGATTTGACGCTACAGTACTGTGCAAAAGTCTTGACCCGCTTCTAATTTCCTCTTACTTTACCAGGAAGATGGGAAATAAGGGTCGGGTCTGGGTTGTCCCCTTTTCTTTTACATACTGTTCATACTTTTCTCTCCCTCTTCTACTTGTCAAGATTCAAGGACCCACTCCACACCACGCCGAGATACGCCATGTTTTCAGCTAACCTCTCTGTGGGAATCGCCTTGTTGTTGCAAAAATACTATTTTACGCCGACCACACTGTTATTTGTAACCTTTTTTCTTTTTTCTTCTTGGATTCAGCTAAAGAAATGAAAACAAGGATGCTCCTAACACAGATACAATTAAAATTTGGTTCTTTGCTAAGTGGAGTCATCCATGAGTAAGATGCCTTTTTATATGCTTGGATCATTCGTAGGTCAGTGTTAAGTCGCTTAACAAAAAAATGAATAAATAAATACACGATATGGTACAAAGACTGGACCAATGCAAGTGATGTCCAAGGAATAGTGTTTTAATTGGTCAAAACAACTTTAAGAAATTACAAGAAATTGTCTCCATTGAAGCAAAACGGTAGGTGGCTCAAGACTTTTGCACAGTACTGTAGATGCTACCTTTATTGAACTAAAATAAGGTTGCACAGCAAGTCAGTGAATATTGTGTGGCAAAGCCTTTAACATTACACTGGGTTGTGCTTGCTGGTGAGGCTATGGCTGGACGAAGCCAGACGGAGGTTTGATATTGAGTTTTTTTTTTGTGTGTGTGTGTGTGTGTGTGTGTGTGTGTGTGTGTGTGTGTGTGTGTGCGTGTGTGTGTGTGTGTGTGTGTGTGATTTTCAGCCTTAGAGGTTTTGTTTTCCAGGTAAAAC